CCAAAAACCCAGCAGCAATTACAAGTTCCTTCCTTTCCCTCACTCTTATATCTAAAAACTCTCAAATTCAACTGATTACACTTATAGCTATTAAATCTGGTAACTTTTCTCCATCCTCACTTTCGGCTCCCTTATTTCAAGTCACTGTTATTTGGAGCTTTATGTTTTTTTTTTTTTTTTGGAGAGGTTTTCGCTATAGGGCGCGTGCGCTCGCCAGACAGACAGAGACATAGAGACAGAAAGCGAGAAATCACCCCCCAGGGGGGATGGTCACGCCACAATCCCTTCCCCTCCATTCTCCTCTCGGGATCTTGGGCACGCACGCACACGCGCCCGGCGTGAGATTTAAGCCACCGGGTCCGAGATGCGAACCGCGGTCGACTACGTGGGAGTCCAGCGACATAGCCATTACGCTAACTGCTGGTTCCTGGAGCTTTATGTTTAAAAGCCTTCTAATTGTTCTCCCTATCTTTAGTCTTGTTTCCTCAAAACTAATTGCTATAATACAACCCAGAATAACTGTTTTAATAAACAAACCTGCTAAATCTTTTCAATAGCTTCCTGTTACTCTTGGGATACATGCTAGATTTTTTTTTTTTTTAGGTTTCTGCTATAGGACATGTGCATTCCCCACCAGAAAGACAGAGAGAGACAGAAGGACAGAAAGTGAGAAATTACCCCTCAATGGGGATGGCTACGCCACAATCCCTTCTCCTCCATTCTCCTCTCAGGATCTTGGGCACGCACGTACATGCACCTGGCGTGAGTTTAAGCCACTGGGTCTTAGACTCGAGCCACAGTTGGCTACATGATAGTCCAGTGACATAGCCATTACGCCATTTGCTGGTCCCAAATGCTAGATTTCTTAAGGAGTTTGCAAGGTGTTCTGAAATCCATTTTTGACTAATTCTCAAGCGCCGTTCCTCTACTCTCTTCACTTACTAACTCTGCACTTTTGTTGGCAGTTTTCTAAACCCTGAGGTTTTTGCTGCCACTACTTTTGTCTGGACTACATGGCTTTTTCTATCCCAGCTGCTGAATCACCTGAGTAACTCGTACTTAACCTTCAGAAGTCAGTTGTGCCCACAATCTGTCCCTAACTACCTCCACCCTCCTGTTCAATCAATCCTGAAGCCCTCTTATATGACTCCTCATCAGTGGCACAGTCAAATATATTAAGTTGATGCAAAAGTAAATGTGGTTTTGCATTGTTGAAATTTGCCGTGTGTTATTGGATAGATTCTTAAATAAATGTGGTGGTATTGTACATCATTTTAATGTGCATTTAAAAAAATTTGCTAATGACTTATTACTTGCTCTTTATTTCATATATGTTTTAGAGTCTTCCAACTACACGAGAAATTGCTAAGGAACTCAATGTCGACCATTCTATGGCCATTTGGCATTTGAAAGAAATTTAAAAAGTGAAAAAGTTCAGTAAGTGGGTGCCTCATAAGCCGACTGAAAAATTTTTTTTTTGTAGAGGTTTTTTTCCTATAGGGCGTGTGCGCTCACCAGAAAGACAGAGAGACAGAAAGCGAGAAATCACCCCCCAGGGGGGATGGCCATGCCACAATCCCTTCTTCTCTATTCTCCTCTCGGGATCTTGGGCATGCACACACACGCACCCGGTGTGAGTTTAAGCCACTGGGTCTGGGACTTGAACCACGGTCGACTACATGGGAGTTCAGCGACATAGCCATTACGCTAACTACTGGTCCCCTGACTGGAAATTTTTAAAAGACTATCATTTTTGAAGTGTTATCTTCTCTTATTCTACACAATAGTGAACCATTTCTCAATCAGATTGTGATTTGCAATGAAAAGTGAATTTTATATGACAACTGGCTATGACTGGCTTAGTGGTTGGGCTGAGAAAAAGCTCCAGAGCACTTCCCAAAGCAAAACTTGCACCACAAGAAGGTCATGGTCACCATTTGATGGGGTCTAATCCATTACAGCTTTTGAATCCTGGTGAAACCATTTCATCTGAGAAGTAAGCTCAGCAAATTGATGAGATGAACCAAAAACTGCAGTGTTTGCAGCTGACATTGGTCAATAGAAAGGGCCCAATTCTCCATAATGCTCAACCGCATACCACACAACCAATGCTTCAGAAGTTGAACGAATTGGGCTACAAAGCTTTGCCTTATCTGCCATATTCACCTGACCTCTCTCCAACAGACTACTGCTTTTTCAAACATCGCAACCACATATTTCAGGAAAAATGCTTCCACAACAGCAGGATGAAGAAGATGCTTTTCAAGAGTTTGTTGAATCCCCAAGCATGAATTTTTATACCACATGAATAAACAAACATTTCTTGTTGACAAAAATGTGTTAATTGTAATAGTTCCTATTTCTATTAATAAAGATGCATTTTATCCTAGTTATAAGGATTTAAAATTCATAGTCCCAAACTGCGATTTTTTTTTTTAGAGGTTTTTGCTATAGGGGGCGTGTGCTCGCCAGACAGACAGAGACAAAGAGACAGAAAGCGAGAAATCACCCCCCAGGGGGATGGCCACGCCGCAATCCCTTCTCTTCTATTCTCCTCTCAGGATCTTGGGCACGCACGGCACACGCACCCAGTGTGAGTTTTAAGCCACCGAGTCTGGGATGCGAACCACAGTCGACCACGTGGGAGTCCAGCGACATAGCCATTACACTAACTGCTGGTGCCACCAAACTGTAATTTCTTTTGCACCACCTAATAGTATTTTCCAGAGAGTATTATTATTGTCTGCGTATCTCCACTCTAGCACAGGGACTTGTATCTTGTTCGTCATTGTATTCCTAGAATCTAGCCATGTTCCAGACATGCAATTAAAAATTCAGTAATTATTTGTGGAGTAATAACAATAACGACAATAATAATTTATTTAAAAAAACTTAATATGTTCTAGACACTGTGTTTGGTGTTTTACATGAATTCTTACTTAATTCTCACAACAAGGTACTAACCTTTTCCCTCTATATTTTATTTGATGGTTTTAGATTTCTTATTTGTAAAATGAGGATGTTGATCCAGTTAAATCTCTCAGATGCTCTTTTAAAATTTTATGGCGGGACCAGCAGGTGGCATGGTGGTTAAGGCACTGGACACTCCCACATGGCCAACTAGGGGGTTCAAGTCCTGAATCTAGTGGCTTGCTTTCTCACTTCTTCTCTCTCTCACTCTTACCTTCTGTCTCTCTCTCATCAAATTAAAAAAAAAATGAATGAATAAATAAAATAAGGAAAAAATTTTTATAGCCATTCTTACTTACCCAAAGTTAGATAGGCTTTTATATGTATTCTGCTTTTAGGGTATGCTAACTACTATGATCAAAGACAAATGCCAAATTCCATCCCACAGGATATATATTTATTTTTTGTGGCCCTTAATCATAATTAATTTCCCCAGAAAAGTCCATAAATTCCTTCAACTAAAGGCAAAATCTCTGTATGTCAATATATATTCCCCACCCTGGGGGGACAATTTATAATTTTTCAGATTTCCCATGGGCAAAAACAAGCAATAAAACAAATAAAAATATCGACTATTAACATGAGTGAGCTTCACATTCTCACCTTCTTTCTTAATTTTATGTATACTTAGAACCACATTACGTAGAAGTCAGTTGGGTCACAATAAATTAGAACATATATTCAAAATATGTTCTAGGAAAGGCATATTTATTGTCTGGCCCAATAATAATTTAGCTTTTAGACATCTCTCTCATTGTCGGTCTTTTAACAACCTTGTCCAGTGTTTTTTTCATAGACATATCTGACCTACCTGTAGATTATCACACATTTCTTGGCTGTATGTTAACCGCTGAATTTCAGTGGGTGATACAAGGTATAATGCTTGTCCTTCATTGGTAAAGCAAAATGTCCTTGCTATCCTCATATCTGTCAGTGGCAAATAATTAACATCCAACATCGGGCGAAGACTAGGTAGGCTGAATGGAAAAAAGCAAATATTTCAAATTCAAATTGTTAGAAACAGATCCTTACACATAGCAGTACTTTTAAACCATTATTTTATGCTTGTTTCTTTTTAGTATCTTCAAGGCTAAGTGATAATAAACTAGACTTTCACATAAAATCACATGCGTTAAAAAAAATAAAACAAACAAACAAAAAAAACATAGGCAAAGTTCTATCTTAATCTACACAAATTCTTAGTAAATGTAGGGCCAGCAATCTTGGGGGCACTTTTTGCAGTATTTCACAAGCTTCTATAATCAATCATAGCCTTTAATTATGGCAGAAACAGAACATCTAGATAATGTCTAATTTCATACTTGGTCTATTGTCTCTCAGGCAAAATTCCTGAGTCTAAGGAGGATGTGCACGGACAAACATGGAGTGGGTGCAGTTCTCTGTGGCTGGGGATGAAGTGGCTTTGCTCCCTACTCCTTTACACACTCTATACACAGAAATGGAAGTAGAAATTTCCTATCTTTTAGGGCACCTGCACTGAATGCATGATTAATACATTAAACACAGGGCTGTAAGGGAGTAAGTTATAAATTATGTCAGAATTTGCACATCCAAATGAAACTACACATCTGAAGTGTCTTACTACATTACTATATGCTTAATCAAATGTTGTGGCTAATAAGTTTACTAAAATATTCATCAGAATATCCCCTTCGATACTGTTCTTGGAGCTAGTTTTACAAACTGAAGAAAGTCTCACTATTTTTCAATTACTTCTCTAATGCCACATGAAAAAAAAAACATAATTCAATCTCAAGATTTGAAACTATTCTACTGATTTTAAGTGTGCACAAAATTAATCTCAGATCATAAAAACAGTACCCCCAAAACAAAGTTTGTAACTATCTCTGTGTCCTTGAATTTTACTGTGTAAAATGGGATTTAAAATCTATGCTGCTGGAATAAGCTTTTCAGGAGAGTCTAGCACTCTGCTGCCCAATGTGTAGCCATGAGCCACTTGTGGCTGTCGAGCAGCTGATACCTGGATAGTCAGAATTGAGATCTGCTGGAAGTGTAAATTACACACTGGATTTCAAGGACTCAGCATGAATAATGAACATCTAATACCTTAATAAGATATTGAAAAGTTATCTATTATAGCACTTTAGGAAACTAAGTTCTCTATGAGATGAGTCCCAAACAAACCCAGCTAACAGATTTCCAGAATAGAGTCAGACATAGGTAGCCTCTTGTGTCTCTCTCTACTCTCAAACTTGCTTTTCCAGGTCTGGGTACATCAGGACCTAAGCAATCATTAGTTACCTGCCATCTCTCAGAAAATTGGGACTTGAGGAGATTGGATTACTCCTGGCCTCACTATATTTTACTAAATCATACCAAATAATTTCTTTTTCAAATATTTTGAGGAACCTCTAGAATCCGTAAAGAGTTGTCACTATAACATAATAGCAGAGAAGCTATCATCATTCGTGTACAGTTTATAAAGGACAGACTATGTGCTTAGCAATGACTTTTGTTTTTAAAACTCTTTTCATTGGGACCAGCAGTTAGCATAATGGCTATGTTGCTGAACTCCCATGTAGTCGACCACGGTTCACGTCCTGGACCCAGTGTCTTAAACTCACACCGGGTGCGTGTGTGTGCATGCCCAAGATCCCGAGAGGAGAATGTTTACCAGGAACATCTGCTAAGGGTTACTGTTCTCCACACTGAACATTCACCAGCGCATAACACCAAAAAAAGTGGACCAAAATCCCTGTTCTCAAGGAGCTGACATTCCAGTAAGGAAAGGCAAACAAAAAGCACAAGAAGTACATTCTGTATTGGTCGTCGGAAAAGGCATGACACATTTTTAAAAAAAACATAATTCAATCTCAAGATTTGAAACTATTCTACTGATTTTAAGTGTGCACAAAATTAATCTCAGATCATAAAAACAGTACCCCCAAAACAAAGTTTGTAACTATCTCTGTGTCCTTGAATTTTACTGTGTAAAATGGGATTTAAAATCTATGCTGCTGGAATAAGCTTTTCAGGAGAGTCTAGCACTCTGCTGCCCAATGTGTAGCCATGAGCCACTTGTGGCTGTCGAGCAGCTGATACCTGGATAGTCAGAATTGAGATCTGCTGGAAGTGTAAATTACACACTGGATTTCAAGGACTCAGCATGAATAATGAACATCTAATACCTTAATAAGATATTGAAAAGTTATCTATTATAGCACTTTAGGAAACTAAGTTCTCTATGAGATGAGTCCCAAACAAACCCAGCTAACAGATTTCCAGAATAGAGTCAGACATAGGTAGCCTCTTGTGTCTCTCTCTACTCTCAAACTTGCTTTTCCAGGTCTGGGTACATCAGGACCTAAGCAATCATTAGTTACCTGCCATCTCTCAGAAAATTGGGACTTGAGGAGATTGGATTACTCCTGGCCTCACTATATTTTACTAAATCATACCAAATAATTTCTTTTTCAAATATTTTGAGGAACCTCTAGAATCCGTAAAGAGTTGTCACTATAACATAATAGCAGAGAAGCTATCATCATTCGTGTACAGTTTATAAAGGACAGACTATGTGCTTAGCAATGACTTTTGTTTTTAAAACTCTTTTCATTGGGACCAGCAGTTAGCATAATGGCTATGTTGCTGAACTCCCATGTAGTCGACCACGGTTCACGTCCTGGACCCAGTGTCTTAAACTCACACCGGGTGCGTGTGTGTGCATGCCCAAGATCCCGAGAGGAGAATGGAGGAGAGGATTGGAGTGATTTCTCACTTTCTGTCTCTCTGTCTCTCTGGCGAGTGCATGCGCCCTGTAGCAAAAACCTCTCTCATAAAAACAAAAAACAAAACACAAAAAAACCAAAACTCTTTTCATTTTCATTTTTCAAGAAATTTCTCACCTCATAAATATATTTCATAGAACATAGTCATTTTTTTGTTTGGAAAGGTTTTTGCTATAAGTTGTGTGCGCTCTTCAGAAAGGCAGAGAGACAGAAAGCGAGAAATCACCCCCCACAGGGGATGGCCACACCACAAGCCCTTCTCCTCCATTCTCCTTTGGGGATCTTGGCACCTGGCATGAGTTTAAGCCACTGCGTCCAGGACTCGAACTGTGGTTGACTACATGGGAGTTCAGCGACATAACCATTATACCAACTGTTGGTTCCAGTACATAGTCATTTAAATAGAATTTTGAGACATACATAACATTTGCGAAATCAAGAACTAAAATTCTGCAAAAGCACTGTAAGTAATCACTATCCAGCTACCACCAATTGTAGCATAATGACAGTTTAAGATAAGACAAATTTTGAACACTAATTGCTAATTCAGCTATCTCTCTGTCTCACACACACATTTTTTTTCCTTTTAAACAGAGGCATGTCTGGGAATTAAGTGATCATTTTCAAATAAGACTAGAATAACTGTCATAAGAAATCTCTAAAAGCTGAGAAAGGGAAGACCAGATAAAGAAAGAACCAGAAATACATAACAGAATGAGCAGACTATAAAATGATTCTTTAGTTTTTCAAAATTTTCTTCTTCACTATGTCCCTTAGCTTACAAATCTGTCCATGCTTTTCTCATTAAGGAATGACAATGAAAATAAAACACCCCCCAAATTTAGCTTTTATCTCATCTCTCTTTTTACCACAAAATTTTCTAAAAGAATAATGTACACCAGGGGGAAAGGGCCAGATAGTAAATTTCTTAGGCTTAGTTAGCCACATAGTCTATGGTGAAACTACTCAACTTGGCCTGGTGGTGCAAAAGCAGTCACAATCAATGTACAACCAAATGAGCGTGACCGCGTTAAAACAAACTTCATGAACATTGAAGTTTGAATTTCATATAATTTTCACATATCATGAAATAGTCTCTGATTTTTTTCAACCATTAAAAATATAAAATCTAGGCTGGCCCAGTAGCCAAGGGAGCTAGATCCTGTATTGTTGACTGAGCAGTTCAAATCCTGGTCTAGGGCTTGAAAAATTGAGTGCATGTGCATGTATGCCCCAAATCCAGAATGGAGAAATGCAGGAGAAGGAATTGTGGTGTGACTACACCCCACACTCTCTGGTGAGTATATCTGCTCTCTAGTAATACACCCACAAGCACACATACCATTCTTAGTTTGTAGGCTAAGATTGGAGGTAGAAGTAGATTTGCTCTGTAACTTTATAGTTTGCCAACTCCGATCACTGTCTCTATTCTTTCCCACTTTAAAATTAGCTTTTGTTTCCACCATGCTATGATATGCTTTTTTAAAAGCTAATACTATCCTACTGCTTGCAAGATCTAGTGGTTTTATTTTTTTTCTGTACCCAAATTCTTTGACCATGTTCGACTAACTCTAATTATCTTTTCTGTTTTATTATTCTTCTCTCCTTTTATTTCAATAAGTTACTTTCCTTCCAATAAGCTTCTCACACACACATTTTTTTTCCTTTTAAACAGAGGCATGTCTGGGAATTAAGTGATCATTTTCAAATAAGACTAGAATAACTGTCATAAGAAATCTCTAAAAGCTGAGAAAGGGAAGACCAGATAAAGAAAGAACCAGAAATACATAACAGAATGAGCAGACTATAAAATGATTCTTTAGTTTTTCAAAATTTTCTTCTTCACTATGTCCCTTAGCTTACAAATCTGTCCATGCTTTTCTCATTAAGGAATGACAATGAAAATAAAACACCCCCCAAATTTAGCTTTTATCTCATCTCTCTTTTTACCACAAAATTTTCTAAAAGAATAATGTACACCAGGGGGAAAGGGCCAGATAGTAAATTTCTTAGGCTTAGTTAGCCACATAGTCTATGGTGAAACTACTCAACTTGGCCTGGTGGTGCAAAAGCAGTCACAATCAATGTACAACCAAATGAGCGTGACCGCGTTAAAACAAACTTCATGAACATTGAAGTTTGAATTTCATATAATTTTCACATATCATGAAATAGTCTCTGATTTTTTTCAACCATTAAAAATATAAAATCTAGGCTGGCCCAGTAGCCAAGGGAGCTAGATCCTGTATTGTTGACTGAGCAGTTCAAATCCTGGTCTAGGGCTTGAAAAATTGAGTGCATGTGCATGTATGCCCCAAATCCAGAATGGAGAAATGCAGGAGAAGGAATTGTGGTGTGACTACACCCCACACTCTCTGGTGAGTATATCTGCTCTCTAGTAATACACCCACAAGCACACATACCATTCTTAGTTTGTAGGCTAAGATTGGAGGTAGAAGTAGATTTGCTCTGTAACTTTATAGTTTGCCAACTCCGATCACTGTCTCTATTCTTTCCCACTTTAAAATTAGCTTTTGTTTCCACCATGCTATGATATGCTTTTTTAAAAGCTAATACTATCCTACTGCTTGCAAGATCTAGTGGTTTTATTTTTTTTCTGTACCCAAATTCTTTGACCATGTTCGACTAACTCTAATTATCTTTTCTGTTTTATTATTCTTCTCTCCTTTTATTTCAATAAGTTACTTTCCTTCCAATAAGCTTTTTTTTTTTTTACCGTTTCTTTTTCCCCCCCTCCCAATAACTTTTATATGTTTAATTATCCTCTATTTTTATCCTCTAATCTCCTCTGGGAACTTGGTTTGTGATAAAAAAAATTCAATCCCATATTTCCTCTGTTAAAATGTATAGTTTCTTTGTACTGGAATCATGAGCATACCTATTTTACCTTCTAGTTGTACAGTAAGCTTCTTAAAGGGTTTGGCTCATGTTTTGCTAATTTTTTATGTTCTTCATATACCTACTGCAATGTTTAACTGTCTCAATACTTTTTGGAACAAAGTGAGATATTAAAAATAATGACTGACTTCTACATATCTGTTTATTAACTTTTTATTGAATTCATAAAATCATTAGGGAGTTATTTTTGTGTTCTCAAACTTTATTTCATTTCACTAACAGTAGAATAAAATCTCTCAGCTGATAAATTAAAATATTTGATGACTTCTACTATACTGTCCAGTGCTAGCCACACTTTTTCCTAAACTAGCAATTGCAGGCAAATTATTTAGCTTTCACTTGTTAACATATGTAAAATGGAGAATGGGAATAATACTTTATTTTCTTATGTCCTAAAGAGGTAATAAGGATAAAATAAAATTCTTATTTAAAATTCTTGTATGGACTATGAAATATAATAAAAGTAATAGTTAATTTTTTTTCATGTATTCATCTTTTACTTCCATTGCCTAGCACAGCATCTGGGAGATAACTTACGCTCAGTAAGTGTTGAATGAATGTATGAATGACTGGAAAGTGATCTTTTCCTTATATTCCTTGATGTTAGTTAACCTATATATTTCAGAACTGGCCCTGCAGTGTACTAGTTAAAAGAGTTGGATCCCACATGACCAATTGTAGTTTAAATCCTGGGCTGGGGTTTAGAATACATGCCAGATGTATGCATGCATGCCCAAAATCCTGATGGGAAGAAAGAATGGAGGAAAAAGGATTGCAGAATGACCACATCCCATTGGGAGAGGGCTTTCTCCCTCTTGCTCTAGTGAGTGTATGCCCTCAGGCAATAATATATATGAGTATACAAATATATATAAACTCGTATATATATAAATATATTTCATTCACAATGCCGAGCTTTTTTTTAAGTTTTGCATAGGGCATGTATGCTCACCAGATACACACACACACACACAGAGAGAGAGAGAAAGAGAGGGAAAGCGAGAAAAAAAAATCTAGAGTGGATGGCCATGCCACAATCTCTTCTCCATTTATCTCTTGGGATGTGGGGCACACAACACACATGCGTGTGGTGTGATTTTCAAAACCCACTGAGTCTGAGTTTTAAACCGGGGAGTCAGCCATGTGGGATCCAGCTGCTTTAACCTCTGTGGCACCTGCTGGCCCAATGCCAAGCATTTTTAATAACAAAAATAAAACAAAAAGCCCACACATATATATGCACAATCACACACACATGCACTCACATACACAAAACAAAACAGAACTGTCACTGAATTGCTAAACAATAAAACATTCACAAACATAACAAAACAATGATGTCAGGTTGTTTCTTGGTGTAATCTTGCACATTACCCATATACTTTTCAGAATTGTTCCTTGCTGGTATTGTAATTATTAGATAACTTATAAAAAAGCAAATACCTCATTATCATGATATGCCCATTAGCACAAAAGCATGCCAAACAGGCACTGTTACACATGACCACCACATCTGCTTGCAGTATAAATGATGTCTCGGTGATGTTATGAACATAAAGGCAAGTCTGAGAAGGCAGTGAGAAGACTTTGGCTTGTTTTTCTGAGCAGATTATTGTGTACTGATGATCCCCTATTTCTTGAGATGCAGAAGAGGAGTTCATAACCAGTTTCCTTTTCCAAGACTTTTCATTTTCATCTATGTTGTTTGGATCCCTCCAAACTTCATACGGCGGTTGCATTACCCCGCCAGTTCGGTCCATACAGGAGAATGTTAGCACAGCTCCTTTCAATGAGAGGAATGTACCTATAAAAACAATTTCACATCACTGGCACATGAAATTCTTTCTAAAACAGGTGTTATTCATTTATGGGCAAAATTTTTCAATATTTCAATTTATATCTATGGTCTTACAATATTGCAGCAATATACATAAGTCAGTAGATTTTTAAGTTTATATGTTGCAGTAACTTGGAGTCAGACAACATTGAGTCTAAAAGGAACCTAAGACATAATTTTTCAAATCTTCTCATTATACTAAAGAGAAAGCCACAGACCTAGAGAGATGATGAGACTTGGGCCAGGTCACATAGCAAGTTAGCTGAGCCTGTACTAGAACTCAGGTTTCCTGATTCCTGATCCAGAATTGTTTCATTATACTATATAGTCCCTAACAAAATGACCCCCCCTTTTTTTTTTTAAAAAAAAAAGTAGATTTAAGAAAATAATTTTCAGGGAACCGGCAGTTAGTGTAATGGCTATGTTGCTGGACTCCCACGTAGTCGACCGCAGTTCGCGTCCCGGACCCGGTGGCTTAGAACTCATGACGGGCGTGAATGGAGGAGAAGGGATTGTGGCGTGACCATCCCCCTGGGGGGTGATCTCTCGCTTTCTGTCTTCTCTCTCTGGCTGGGGAGCGCACGGGCCCTATAGTGAAAACCTCTCAAAAAAAAAAAAAAAGAAAATAATTTTCAGTTATTAAAATAACCTCAACTGAAAAAATTATGCCATCTGATTTCATTTTCTTGTTTCATAGGCTCATTTGCTAGATAATGTTATTTCCTTCCTCTGAAATTGAACACAGAATAAATGTTACAAAGTTTAAATGTTCAGTATGCATTTTAGCGACTTTAATTGTATGGAAAAGACTAAATTAACTACCTTTAGCTCTTAGATGGGCCTATACATCTTTTTCAGAAAGGAGGTTTACTTACCTGAATTCTCCAAGGTTGAATATCTATGCCAGATCCTTACCTACAGGCAATTTTTACTAGTCTCAGGGGATTGTATACTATAAAACTTAGGAGGTAACTTAGGCTATATAAATCTTTGGGCATTTCCAGAATCGCTGACTAAGCTGTGCCCCTATGAGACCTTTCCTTCCTTTGTCTTATGACATCACGTAGAGATGTAGAGGAAGTAAGGGTTAACCCAGATGGCATGCCTCAAGAGCGTATCTGTGATAAAGACTTGAAAAAGGGAAGGATGACAGATAAAAATACATTCCATTTTAGAAAGTACTTTACCTATAATTTAAAGCACTTAAAACTTACCAAATTAAAAATAACATATTTGGATGATCTAACATCTTCGTTGTGCTGCAAACCTGGGACAAGGATGGCTACCACCATGTCCCAGATGTTATGGGGCATGTACCTGAACCTGACCATCCCCATATACACTCTCAGATTCCCAACAGGAGTGGAAAGTGAAGGTAGAGTGCCCTTCTCCCTACAAACCAGTTGTCACCTGGGTGAGAGACAGGTAGAAGCAGGCTGCACATGAACAGAGGCTCCAAGGCCCTGGCTCATGCTCCATTACTCCACCAGTCTTCATTTACAAGACATACATTAAAAGATGAAATTATTAAGAATTTCAAGACTATAAGAGCAGACCATTAGACCAGCAAAAGGCCTCTGGGGAGTGAGCCCCATGCACAGATCATGCACCTATCAAGCCAGCCCCACATACGTCTGAACACTTGAGTATACAGCTGTTGTACTGTTATTATATGACTTTATGTTGTCTTTCCAACTGTACTATGAATCATCCAAAAGAAGGAACCATGTATTTGGCTTTTCTTATTGTTCTCACTAGGTAGGTAGGCAATCTAATCAAAATCGTAATAGGCATTATTTGGTAATCTATTGACTATGCATCACATCCAAGTTAAGAAAATGACTATACATGGGAAAATAAACACGGGAAAATAAACACAGGTAAATGAACAAGTGAAAAAAAAAAAACCTGAACTGACTAGATTCAAAGATTCAGATATAGACTTAAGCCAGATCTGAGCTATTCAAATAAAATAAAGCTATTCCAATAAAGCAAAGATTCAGATATAGATTTAAGATGCCAGATTTGAGCTATTCAAATAAAGCCAAGCCTCACTATGTGAACTGAGTTAGAGACAGGCATACGGTTCCTTGAGCCTAAAACTTTTTTCCTTTTCCTTTTTTCTGAATATGTATTTTCAACTTTTTCTATTGTGGCAAAATACATGTATTACAAAATTTACCATCTTAACTATTACCTCTGTATAGCTCAGTGGTTTTATACACATTCATATTGTGCAACCCTCGCTACTGGCTACCTGTAGAACTCCTTAACATATAGTTTTAAATAAAAATTATAAATGTTTATTGCACAAGATATGGAAAATAACATTATGAAACTCATTCATAACCCTGTTAACGTCTGTAAGTATTTTTCCAAGCTATGCTGAACAGTATGTAGCACATATTTTATATAAAACTAACCTTATAAAATTAGGATAATTTTCTGTGCTATTTCAAGTTAAGACTCTTTTTTAATCACATGACTATATAATTTCAAATATCTGAAAACACCTTCTTTCTTTCTTTGTGTGTTTTTTTTTTTAGAGTTTTTTTTTGCTATAGGGCGTGTACACTTGCCAGACAGACAGAGAGAGACAGAGAGACAGAAAGTGAGAAATCACCCCCCAGGGAGATGGCCACGCCACAATCCCTTCTCCTCCATTCTCCTCTTGGGATCTTGGGCATGCATGTACATGCGCTCGGCGTGAGTTTTAAGCCACCGGGTCCAGGATGCAAACCGCGGTCGACTACGTGGGAGTCCAGCGACATAGTCATTACACCAACTGGTGGTCCCTGAAAACACCATCTTTCATGAATGTATAACATTCTGTTGCTACATTCTATTGTGTTAGTTATTTTTACTAATCTTCTGTGACTGGACATTTATGTTACAGTGAGTTTTATTATTTTTATTTATTATTTATATAAATAATTTTATGATAAATGTCCTATGTATAAATCTTTGCTTCTTTGACTAAATCTCTTAGGATATATTCTTAAGTCTCTGTGGGCTTTTAGGGCCAATATGACAAGGTTCTGGGGGTTAGTTCTACAGGTCAGGACTATAGAATGTCTTTGGTATCTGATAACTTTCTAACCATAAGATATCAGTGGTAAGATTTTAGAATAAACACAGGTTCACCCAAACATGTGGGCTGTGCCTATTTAACCTGTCTGTGCCCTTTAACCCTGTTTGTAGGAGGCTAGGAGGATTGAGGGGTCTTAAGATCCTTGTCAAGGGTACCTCTCTGTCTCTGTCTCTTTCTCTCTATCATAAAAGAAAAAAAAATGTAAAAATGCAAATTCTCAAATGGTACCCAAGATGTACTAAATTAGAAACTCTACAAGGTGGGACCCAATTATCTGTATTGTAGCAAACCCTCCAAGAGATTCCAATGTAGACTGAAGTGGTAGCTATTAGAATAGAGAGTCTCAAGCTGCTTTCAAACTCTAAAATTAAATTACTTGGGGTCAGTGGGTGGCCTGGTGGTTAAGGTGCTAGACTTTCACATGGCTGACAATGGTTTGAGGCCTGGACCTGAAGGCTTGAAAATCATGCCAGGCATGTATGTGTGCATGCAAGAAATCCCAAAAGGAGAATAAAGAAAAATGAGTTGTAGGATGGTCATATCTAGCCCAGGGGTGGTGATTTCTTGCTTTCCCTCTCTCTCTCTCTGGTGAGCACATACACCCTATAGCAAACAAACAAAACAAAACAAAAACAAAAACAAGCAAACAGACATCTAAAATAAAATTATTTACTACCGTTCAAATTTTCTTATTACTGATAAGAATTTGTTGTCAGGAGAAATAAGATAATCTATGTGAAGAGATTCTTTAAAAAAAGAGAAGTAGGCTTTTCCTTTAGAAAAATTTTAGGTCTAGGGCTCATGTGCTTGCTAGAGAGATAGAGAGACAGAAAGTGAGAAATCACTCCCAGAGGGGATGGCCATGCTGCAAGCCTTTCTCCTCCATTCTCCTCTCAGGATTTTGGGCATGCATGCACATGCACCTGGCATGAGTTTTAGGCTACCAGGTTTGGTATTAGAACTGCAGTCAACTATGTGGAAGTCCAGTGACATAACCACTATGCCATCTGCTGGTCCTGAGAAGTAGGCTTTTCTTATTAGGAGATTTTGATTACTGATTCAATCTCCTTGTTAGTTGTGAATCTGTTTAGACTTTCTGTTCCAAAATGATTCAGTCATGGTAAGTTTGTTTCTAGGATTGTCTCCATTTCTTCTGGAGTATCCAGTTTGTTGGGATGTAATTGTCCATAGTCTCCTGCTCTTTTTTGTTTTGATACTATGAAGTAATATCTCCTTTTTAATTTCTGGTTTTAGCCTTCTCTCTTTTTCTATTAGTTAATTAGCTAAGAGTTAATCAATTCTGTTTATCTTTTCAAAAACCAACACTTAGTTTTGTTAAAAATGGGCTAAAGGCTCAGCCACTGTGGTCCACACTGCTAAGACACTGCGCTTCACAGGCTGGAACCACATAGGCTTGGTTCCATGCTCAGTCCAATCTAGAGGTCAGACACAGTGGTGTGCACCTGTAATCCCAGCAATTTGGGTGGCTGAGATAGTGTAGGTTCAAGCCTAACTTGGACAACACAGTGAGGCCTTATTTTAAAAGAGCTCAGAGTGGTAGCACATGCCTGTAGTCCCAGCTATGAGGCTAAGACAGAAGGCTTGCAACAGTGAGACCCTGTCTAAGAAAAAAGAAAAAGAAAAAGAAAAAGAAAAAGAAAAAGAAAAAGAAAAAGAAAAAGAAAAAGAAAGAAAAAGAAAAAGAAAGAAAAAGAAAAAGAAAAAGAAAAAGAAAAAGAAAGGGCTAAGAATATGAGTAGGGGCCAGCAGATGGCATGAAGGTTAAGAGGTTAAGGTGACTAGATCCCATATGGCTGACTATATGGTTTGAGTCCCGGATCTGGCAGCCTGAAAAACATGCTGGCACCTGTGCGTG